GTATTATGTATAAAATATGGCACAAAGCTCATACTGTAGGCCTAAAGAACTGCATCTTTGTCAAAGAAAATTATGTACAGATGATTAGAAAGATGTTCGTGAAGGACTGAACTTCATCAGGTATAAAAGATAGTCATATCTAGGCATTTTCATTGTTTCAGGTTTGCATACATGTGTGCTGATTAGTACACGTGTATTTTAACTCTTCAACCCTGATCACCCCTTGAGTATTCACCCCAAAGGTGTAAGCCAAGTGTGCACTGAAAGTCCCTATTAGAAACATGTGGAGAGCATCACACATCAGTGTGACATCTGGACAAAACTGAAAGCGAGATAGACTAGTGTTTCATTTTCATGTTTTACAGCTTTGGAAGGAGTGCAGAGGGCCTTGACTTCATGGCTTGGAAAGGAGAAGAGGTCCAAAGAGCAACAAAGCCAGGCTGTTGGAAACCTGACATGCAAATACACACACACGGTAGGACACACACACTGAGCACAGGCAGATAATCCAACAAAGAGAAAAAAAATATTAAATTTAATTTGTGCCTTCCTTCATTTTGCAGATATTTCATCTGACTCGCTTTTTCCATATTTCTCTTCCTCTGCCCCATGTGCCCTGGTTGTCTGACTGATTTTTTTTCTTTTTGAGAGTGAGAAGAAAAGATGTATAGAAATTGCATGTTTGAGCATATAATGAACAGTTCAACATGTTGGGAAATATTCTTATTCTCTTTCTTGCGGAGAGTTTGTTAGAAGAAGATTTATATCATCCTCATGTCTGTACTGTAAATATGAAGCTACAACCAGGAGATGGTTAACTGAGTTTAACTATGCCTGCAGTATTGTGGTCACTGTGAGTTTGCCAGACAGCCAGCAGAGACTCCAGTATGTCTCTGTGCCCGGCCAAGAAATAGCTCAGGGTGCAATGTGTAGTTTAGTGAAATCACAAATTGTAATTTTTACACTATGTATAGATTAAACAAACTAGATATTATGTGTTAATGAGTGAGGTTTAAAGGTCCTGGTAGACAGATTTTGTTAATGCTAAGCTAGGCTAACTGGCTGCTGTCTATATTCATATTTAACAGACATCTAACACTGTACAATGTATTTCTCAGACTATCCCTTTAAGTATGGAGCTGGAGTTGGGAAAGGCTTAGCCTAGCTTAGCATGAATACAGGGAGGGGACCGCTAGCCTGTCAGCTAATTAGTTCAAAACGATGCCTACCATAACCCCCAAAGAGCACTAATTAACACATTCAATTAGAAGCATAAAAATAATACATAGAGTTATTTGGACATTTTAATTAGCCAGCTTTTAATTATCAGCTTCTATGGCTATCATGACTTGTCAGATATGGTTAGTGACGTGGCAGGTATCATTCCGTGATACCAAATTAATCTGGGATTCAACTGTGCCCAGTTGTTGCTCACCAAGAACCACATACTCTTTTTATATATTTTTTGGTGTAGTTAGTGAGCTTTAGTCGGGTGGTTCGCACTTTGGACAGACCCAGGTTAGGTCACCTTTTATGCTAATCCTAACTGTCCTGGCTCCAGCCTTTACTTACAGGAATAGTGTGAAGTATTGTTTTTTTGACTTTAATGAAAAAATTCATACCACTCTCATATCTGTCTGTTCAGTATTACTCTAGAGCCAGCAGGTAGTTAGCTTAGCTTAACATAAATACTGGAATCACTAATACACATTACATTGTGCTTAATCAGTACAAAAGCCGGAGCGTACAAACCACAGGTCTGTTCCCCCTTGCTTTCACTCGGCTAAGCTAACTGGATGCTAGCTGTAGCTTCATATTTACTGTACAGACAAGAGTGTGACAGCACTCTTCTGATCTCACTCTCACTTTTAGTGTTTCCCAAAATGTTGAGCTATTCCTTTGACATGCCCCCTTTGACATCCTGATTCCTCACATGAGCAGAAAGCCACACACACAGGGATGTGACTTTCATGATGTCAGGCAAATTACACCTAAGGCACCCGTACCATCTGCTCATAATCCAGAGCACTAACTCATTACATCAGTGTTGGGAGAAGGTTATTTTAAATAAAAGAACAAAGTGTACAGGTATGTTCTTTGTCTATATGACAAGAACAAAGCCACAGATAAAACAACGGATGACGCAGTAAATGAGTCAAAAACAATCAGCCCAAGCTTCACATTATGAGTCACGAACCAGAGACGCTCCATGCTTATTCAGTGTGTCCACTGAGGTGTGCAGCCTTTTCATTTAATATTTCCATAAGGTTGCATATGAGTGTGCGCTGGGCAATCCCTGTAATAAGGAGGTAATGTATTCTGCGCCAATGGCAAAAAGGTACGCTTGAAACATCCCTCACAGGAGCAGCAGTTTCCAACTTGACAGTGGACACATACATAATTAAGCCAACTAAAAAAAAATGAATATTTCATCTCAAAGCATTTTCATCTCCAAACATCAAAACACCTCAACGTCTCACATAATGAGCAAGGTAAATTACTTTTATTCACTGAGGGAATATGCAACAAGGAATGCTCACTCAAAGGACCTTGCTTAAAAAATATATCAGCTTAAAAAGAAAGGGAGAGAACTTACACCACTTATTTTTGTATTTTGCCAGAATTCTTTGTGTCCTCAGAGGTTGTTTTAAGACGCAAAAAGAGCTAATTCTTTCCTATGATTGTTTGCCTAGCTCTTTTTCTAAGCTGTAATTGTGTTATTATGTTATATTACAGTGTCAGCCCTAATGCTTTGTAGCCTGATCTGGCTATAACTCACACTGACCTGTAATTCATGACATGTCATCCATGAGTCGCTTGAGGACTTTTGGGTTTACAGATATGTAGGCACGCCAATAGAGAGGATAAATTATTCCATAACCTTGCAGTAGTTGAATTTTACTAGTGTGGTCTATGTAAGTGCACGCTGTTGCCAAATCTTCTCCATTTCTGCTATGGCACAGAGGCTCTCAAACGTCTTTCTTAAACGAGTTTCCAAAGAATAGGCTGTAAATTATATCGCGGCGGCTTCAAATGGCTGTGTGATACAGCGGGAGAGTAGGTGCATACAGCAGCAGTAGCACCACGCTGGAGAGAATGACTTTGACCGTCAAACCTGACTCACACTAGCTCCCTGTACACCTTCATAGATGGGAATTAACCTGCCACGGCTTGAAACGCTTTACTGAGCGCTGGTCGATACTGTCATTATCCTAAAGCAATTCTTAATTCTATTTGGCCCTGAGCTAAAGATCCTTGTATTGATCACAAAGTCAGGATGCCACAACTACTTTTTTCTAGTTAAGACCTCTATGTGTTGTTCAAGAAAAAGCTCTTAGCTCATATAGTCAGAGTGGGATATACAGCCACATGCTACTGAAGAATAGATCATCACTTTGAATGTTTAAACATATGTTTCAGAACGATACCTTAGGGTTTAATCAAGTGTTACAGTCATAAGGCGCATGCTATGTGAGTGGTACCTCAGTGTTTCATCAAGAGTTACAGAAAAAGGCAACCCTCTTTCATATCCTGTTTTGGGAGATGAGAAATATTGATATTAGTCGGCCGAGGCACTATCAGCATGAAACAGAGCCTTTCAGTAAAGCAGCAGTCATAACACCTGTACTGAAGTTCCTGATTACGTGTCTTTGTTCTCAACGCTTCTGTCACTGCTGCTGCCTCTCAGCCTGTGTGTGTGTGTGTGTTTATGTGTGTGTGTATGAAAAGGCATTTAACGGAGAGACAGAAAAAGACACAGAGAAATCCTAAGCAGCATGAAACTGAATGCGTCTTTTTTTGTCTCTGTCTGGCTGTCTGTCAATCATCTGCATGCACAAACAAACACTTGCACAAGCGTCGCCACCTGCCACAGACTATACGCGGAGGCCTGTGACAGTGGTTAACAGAACAGGACATGTGTAGCCCCAGGTGACTCAAACTGCAAAACTAACAACACCATGCTTCATTGCACCAAGAACGCGGTGTGAAATACCAGTAGAAAGGGTGTGTGTGTGTGTACGTGCGTGTCAATTCACATGTATGTCTAAATGTGTGTGCTATGAATATGCATTTGTGTCATATTACCATAGTGTATTGCTATAACTAATATGGACTTCATTAGGATTGTAAAAGCTGACTGAAGCATAAAGAAAAAAATAAACAACAAGAAAAAATACTTCACAAACTCTCCTATGGTAGATAAAACACGATAAAATGCCCTCTAGGGTGACTTTCAATTAGAGAAAACGTGATGAAATGCCCTCTAGAGTGCCCTTCCAGTGGAGAAAATGTGGTCAAGTGTCCTCTAGGGTACCCTTTCAATGAAGAAAAATGTGGGTGCCTTTCCATTGGAGAAAACTTAATAAAGTGCCCTCTACAGTGCCCTTCCAGTGGAGAAAATGTGGTAAAGTACCCTCTAGAGTGCTAATCCTAACCCTGACTAAGCTGTTTCCCCATACATGCATCACAACTTTCTGTGCACTGGCGTCCTTTTTGTTTTTTTGCCCCTGTCCACCACTGAGGACTCTAAATGATATTTGTATTATTTCTTTTATTGTTGCAGTAAGAATGTAACATTAGTGGGAACATTGCAGCAAGAACACAATCTTAGTGGGAGCAATTGGCTGTAGCAGCAGAAGTTACAGCAGTAATAGCCTGAAAGGGGCTGCGATTCCTTTGACCAGGGTCTTAGCTTCATTTATTGGACTTGTTTGCGCTGGTGAAGTTTAACCAAGTACTGCGCTCACATGCAATCTGAGGTACTTGACTGAGTATTTCAATTGCATGTGGCTTTATACTCTTCATAGGAAGATATTGTACTTTTGGGTACAAGTACCACAGGCATTTATTCTAAAGGTAAGTTGGGTAAATTAAGACAATTGTACCAACTTACAAACTTAACCCCCGATAATTCCATTAAAACCAGTAAGTATATTACACTCATATGCAGCATTTCTCCAAACCAGTTTTTCCCTGAAATACAGGAACTGAATACTTACTAATACTGAATACCTCCACCAGTGCTTGCTTGTATTATTCTGCCGTCATAAAACCATTGTTAAACTCTCCTGAATAAGCATTCAGCAGAACACTGAGCAGTGTGTGACAGTCTCTCAGCTGTGTGAGTGAGTGGCAGCACTGTTGTACTGCTACAGGTTACTACACAGCCGCTGATTGGCTGCGCTGACCGAGCACAGCAAAGTAGGTCCCCGGAATTTCACGAGCCGTACCATTTCTGCCTTCGCGGGGTGGTACGGGAAATTAGTAACTACAGGATGTCGCTTCCTCGCCCGCCTGAAACACACACACTACTCACTGAAATACACATTAGACTTTGTTTTGACTTTTGTTTTATTCGTTTGGTACGCTTGAGCCGAGAAATGCGTTTAATTAATAACTCGGACATATCTGTTCCACCCGCCGGGAGCGAGCCGACGGTTTGGCTCAAAATGGCTGGAGAGAAACAGCTATGAGGATCGACGGTTTTGCCAGGTATTTACGAAAAATGAGCCTGTGTGTAGTTTGAAGGCGCCTCCTCCACATAACTGGGGACCCAGGTGAGACATGTTTACAGTTAATCCGACATTTTCACACAGCCCGCCGCTTTTCGGGACAGACAATGAAGCCAAACAGAGGCTCGTTTGCAGTGTTATCACGGTAGGCTGTACTTGCAGCAGTGAGCAGCCCTGGCTTCTGTGTGTATTTACAGTATGAACAACAGCTTCAAAGTCAAATAACAGTGTGCACAAAGTGTGGGTGTTAGGCGAGAGTGCACACGCAACAAACAGCGCGTGGGCGACCGTGTCGTTGGTGTCAGACAGTGTGTGTGGAGCTAATGCAGAGCAGGCCTGAGGCTAACCCTGCAGCTGTGACATACGTCATCAGCCCAGGATTCCCTGCAGTGTGTGTGTGTGTGTGTGTGTGTGTGTGTGTGTGTGTGTGTGTGTGTGTGTGTGTGTAGACATAAACAAGATCTGAGACACTGAACTGTCTCTGCACTGTGAAGTGAGTGTCAGCAGTGGTGGAGTGCAGGAGTGTGTGTGAATCTCAGAGGTGTGTGTGTGTGTGTGTGTGTGTGTGTGAAGTTTTGGTGGGATTTGGTTTGTGTTCTTCTAACAGGCATTGCATGGTGTAGAGTAGTGGCGCTCGGTCTTTATGGTGTCGAGGACCCTCAGATTGATCCCCATCAGGCCGTGGAGCTGTATTTGATAAGATGTAGTCTCGGGGATCCCCGTCTGATTGCATTTAGTAATTCCACAACTGTCTATGCTGTAGATTAACAGGGATGGGTGTCATCCCTATTTTTCTGGGGACCCCCTGACCTCCCCTGGGGTCCCTGTATACCCCAGGTTGAGAACCTCTAGTGTAGTGTACGGCAGTTGTTCCCACAACCCTGTCAGGTGACACCTTGATGTGTTCATTTGAACTTCTTTTAAACTGGAGGTTATTTACTACTGTTATATACAAGTGGATATTCTTATAATATGTTTCTGTTTGGTCAGTTTTACAGAAGTACTACTTTCAATCATTTATTGCTTTCAGCTATTCAGTTCCAACTTCTCTGCTAACTAGATTTGTGTAAACTTATTTTACGGTCTCTCAATCGCAGCAGGTTGCGTTCAGGAGCTTCAGGTAACGCGGTGGTAAACTGCACAGTCGGCTTATCGTAGCTGGTAGTTTAAAAAAAATTAAAAATAAATTAGCCTCACACCAATTTGTTATAGTTTTTGTGTATTTCCTCCACATTAGCTGAGCACCTTCACAGTTCTTCCAAGTTCCCCCAGGTATCTGCAGACGTACCCCATGAGGTACCTCAGGTAGAGGAGGGAATTAAGTGCACTTGGATGGCTCACCTGTCTTTACCTTAAACATATTGGGTTAACTCAACCTATTTGGTTGCTATGGATGTAATAAACACTAATTGCAGTTGCCCAGTTGTTGCCCAGTTAGAGCTGAAATGTAGATTGGGGATGGACATATGAAAACAGGACTAATCCAGTTAGTATTGATTGATTCTTTCCTTGTTGCACTTTGTATAATTCAATTTACATTTCAAGTTGATGCGGGCCAAGGGTGTGGGCAGTTTGCTGACGTATACTGTAAGATGATGTTGCCTGTAGGTGTTCATACTCTGGTGTGTTTAATAGTTCTCGCTGTGTCAGGCCACTGCAGGAACGTACTCAGCAGACTGGATTTACAGCAGTTCTGCATCTGGAACGTCCCCATTTGGTCATTTTATTTATATATGGCTATATGAGTTCAGTATATTTACTATATTCTGATTAAAGATTATATGTACTACTATATTTATACTAGGAGTTTATTCATACCCCTCATCATCACTTATCACTTTAAAAACTGTGCTCAGAGTTGTGTTCTGTAGCGGGCTCTTGTTTTAAAGCTAGAGTGAAGATACTGGTATCATAACTAGAAACTAGATGATCTAACCCATCCATCGTTACCAGCTGTGTCATGCTAGCAAGTCGGGAAGGCGGCTAGATAACGCTCCAAAGTTAGGCTACGTTTTGATGATGGAAAAACTTGACCTCTGACCTCAAGACATATTAATGAAAATGGGTTCTGTGGGTACTCACAAGTCTCCCCTTTGCACACATGCCCACTTTAATTAGAATATTTCTGCATACCGGGGTCCCCATACAGTGTTGCATGAATTGGGAATGGCTGAAAAGTCTGGATACGCCCCTGGTTCCCTGAGCCCACTATAATCCCTTTCATTGTGTTGTTTTATAATATGGAGCACTGAAGGTTTTTGGGTAATTGCAAAGGATCTGCTGCGATGACACTGCACCTTTTCCAGGGCAGTTGTCGCTCAGACATGCTGGCGCTTATGTTTTCTGCTTCTGACACAATGATGACTGTATCATTAGTGATGCACCAGTTCAGTCTGACACTATTAAGAGGACTGTTACTGCACTGTTTCTGAGTCATGCCACTCTACAACTGTTGTAAAAAAAAAAAAAAACTGTTTCAATAGAAGTGCACAATTAATAGAAACATCCTGGCTTACAAATCTTGTTCTCCAGATGTAAGAAAGCATGTATGTTTGATACAGACCATTACAAGTCTCACATCTGAAGGATTTTCATAGTTTTTTTCAGTGAAAATTGTGATGCAAAAATGACCATTCCCTCTAACTGTGAATCATAAAATAATTGCAGTTATTTCAGCACAGTGATATATACTGTACAGATTGTGAAAGCACTGCTATCAGATCAGTGTCTCGGGTAAAATGAGTGCGTGACTGATGACGTGATGCAGTGCTTTGGCTGGAAACACAGCTACAGTTTGTGATGCATGTAGAAAAATTGTGTTTCTGTATTAATATATTCCTTGCACTTCTCCGTGGAGAGGTCAAAGGTCAGCCAGCTTCAGGACAGCTCCCTTAGTGCTGGCAGGCAGTTTGTATGTTGCACACATGTTGCTTCTGTAGCTGAATGACCCTGTTGCTCCAAGTGAGGCATTTATTTCAGGCAAAGCTCCGAGACCGTGATTTCTTTGAATTGGGAGTACTGATGTAGTCTCAGTGAGCAGGCTGTGTGTCTGGTGTTGAGGCAGTCCATGATCTTTGAGGTCCAGAGTGAAGATTTAGATTAAACGCCTCTAAGATGTTTAAAAAGGAGGAATATGATCCACTGTGGTGAAATGAAGACGGATTATGGCGAAGGAGAAAATTCCCCTCCAGTCAGATCCATCCTCATTGGAACTGGAAATCTCTCTCCCTGCGGTATACACCATGTTCCAGAGAGTGTTCTTGGTTTTCCTCTCCAGATACAACAATTTATTATTTTCACTATCTGCAGCAGCCCAGTTTTTGTCACATAAAAGATGCCGTAAAGGTCGAACCCCACACGCCTCAGGATCTTATGTAGTATTTCCTTTTCAGCAGCAGCTTCACTTTTACAGTTCACTCGAGCTCTGAACTGAGAGCTTCCCAATACAAACAGCATTTTCTTTTTTTCTTCTGAGCCGTTGGGGCTTCGGTGCCTTGCTCGAGGGGTCTGGTGTCAACCCGGCGTCATTTGGTTTTGTATGCGTCTGTGTTTGTAAGATCAGTTAAAAAAAGATCTGACTCATGATGAGGAAACGCCACGACCCGTAAAGAGAAAAACGCTCTCACTGTTACACCTTCTCTTTGTTGGAAAATTGTGGCCTCAGCAATATTTTGTGCTGATAACAGAAAGCGGGTCACACCACACAAATCAGCAAACACTTTTTTTTCACCTTGGGTACAACATTCACACTCCCTCGACACAGCCGTGCACTCCATACTGGCTCTTCTTCACTATCTTTTTTTTTTTTTTTTTTAAGTATTATTTTTTTGGCCTTTATTTGATAGAGAGACAGCTGGAGATAGACAGGAAAGGGGGCCAGAGAGAGAGGGGATGACATGCAGCAAAGGGCCACAGGTCGGACTGGAACCCGGGCACCTGCATATATGGGTCGCCAGCTCTACCGACTGAGCTAGTGAAGAAGGGGCACCCTATCATAGCCGTCCAGGATTTCTGCCTCCACTCAGTAAAACAGACCTGAGTTGTTTGGTAGAGCTCATGGTTATGTCTGATTTGAAAAACTTTCAGTGGCGGGGCCTTTCTGTTCATCAGCATGAAAGGTCACTGATTCATACGCTGCTGTACCAATAAAAAAAAGGGTGAAACTAAATCATGTGCTAGTGCCACCAACTGAGAAAGCTAGTGTGGAGCCCTGGCGATATTTCTTTCATTAAATGTGGGGATTTGCTGCTTCTCTGTTTTATCATCGTAAACAGGATATCTTTAGGTTTTGGACTGTTGACTGAAATAAGACATTTGTAGACGAGCTCTTGGAAACAAAAGATGTTTCATGTTTTTCAAACATTGTATAGTCAAAGTGAGCAATCAGTCATCATCACCCAGGATCAGGGCTGGGTACTGAACATGGTAGGAGAAACACTTTACACACAGACCCCTCCCTATCCAGGATGCTTGTTGCATGATGCAAGGTGTCTTTGAAAAACGAGCCTCTTTTATTCATTTTCATCTCAAACTGTGCAGCATAGTTGGAGTTTCGCTTACCTATTCTAAAGCCACTCGACTAAACCACTGA